AAGTTTGAGCCGTTACATAAATTATTTTTTACCTATTTCAATGGAACCTATGTTCTCGAATGGATATTTTTTGATCATGGCTTTCTTCACTTCCACCAAATTTTGTAGGCGAGCATAGCTTTTGTACCAAGCTGAAATTTTTTGTTAAATCGTTTACTTTAAATTGCATTAGCATCCTTGTAGTGACAACCGTGAGTCAAAATAAATCGTTTTTGCCATATAATTTCCCTATTTTCTTTTATTTAAAATTATTGAAAAATAAGTTTTGTTATGGACCGTTCTTTACGAAAACAGAAGGGAGAATAAAATCTGTTTTTTGGGGTTCTTTTATGCACACTATTATGCGGTCATCGGTAGCATTTGGTGTAATCAAAAGCGTTCTCTTTTCTCCATACACTACGTTGCCTTATCCTACTTATAAACTTTGTAAGTTGCATGAAAATGGTATCTCGTAAGGTACTTCTGATATATTTTAAATAACTTAGCATATGTAAAGGGAACGTGTGGTAACATTTTTTGGGCACACACCCTCCAATCCTCAACAATTTTTGGCGTTTCATTAAAGCAGTATTTTTGTGTGCGTCGTCGTCCGAATTCGTTATTTATCAATCACGTGCTAGAGGTCTCCTCAAAGTCTTTCCTGATCGTATGTTCCCGCCCTGTACCAATATGCTAGTAGAGCAGAAGCCCTGGAAAAACAAGTTTGTATTAACTGTAAACCACTTTTCGTCTAGACGCCATGGCATTTCTGCCAAAATACAACTTTTTTCATAATCAGGTGTATTTGTTTTTTACCTCTATTATCTAATCTGTTTTAATGATAGCTACACTCACCACATTTCGCATGTGTGGAGTTGAGTATGGGCCTTAGTTTCATCGTGTTAAAGCCGGCACATCCTCGCTTTTATGTTATTAAGAGCTCAGGAATAGAGGTCTTCATACTGAACCGATGTTACTGGTAAATCATTGAGATGACCATTGGGTTTGTATATTCACATGATCCCAATTTTTTCTCAAATCCTAAACACCAGCCACAGTCTCCATGCCGGAAAACCTCAATGACAGCGTGTGGCCCCTCTGATGGACTGTATTTATGGATATTCATCCCTTCAGTTTATTTTACGCATTCTACCATACAGGTGCGTTATACACCTCTGCATAGTGAGGGAAACACGTCTGCCCAGAGGGTGGCGAAGTTTGACTCCCTGGGTGGAGATATGAAGCTTCTGATTTGCATTCACTTGTCAAACACTTGCTTAAACCCGGTGTAGGATATTCGTGAGAATATGTGTGTGATTTGATCCTACCGATAACGTAAATACCCTTTTCTCTCGCTTTTTCCATTACAACTCAACTCCAAACCCACGATACCTAACTGTAACCTAAATTCATGCACCACAGTAGTCCCATATTAGTTTGCACATTGTGACTGCTAGCTTATGTCTCAACCAACTTTTTACATAAAGCGTTAAAATAATTTTGGAGCCTTCCTAAATGTTAATGATTCCAGTAATTGCGGGAGCTTAAATGAACGAAGCGGCCTGCGAGTATGTTAAGAATTTTCCTTTTTAAACCGTTTCCTCGTCCTATTCTTACTGATCTTACCCTACTTATGCCAACCACATGGTAAACTCACATGTATAAGTTTTTTTTTCTCTCGTAGGAAACGCATGCGAGGACAATTCACTTAGCCGTTCTTCCTCTGTCGGAAGTCCCATGAAGACTGGCTACCGAAAAAAGAAGGTACAATGCTACACCTTTGAATTAATAAGTAGACCTAACTCAACTATTCAGCAATTTTGTCTTCGAATGTCATGATTACCGCTTAAACACAGCTCATTCCTCTTTCAGAATCAATCGAATTCACGTCGACATTTTCGGCCCAAAGAATCTAGTCAATTCAAGACTGAGCAAACCAAAGCGTCGTGGTAATCACTAACCTTTTTTTGCTATGGCCTTTCGTTGAAGAATTTGTCGCTGCGGCATCGTAACACTCAATGCATTAGCAAAATTGATGTGTTTTTGACAGTAGTGAATGGGTGCAATTTTGCAGCTATTCCAGTTGATTTTACTTATTTCGCTACTGACTGACGCCTGCCAGGTCTGCAGTCTTCACCGTTGTAAGAAGGCGACGGTACTGCATCACTGGGGCCAAGTTACACTTGGTCCGAAGGTCTTGCAAATAAGTTCTACGCCTTTTAAAACAGTCAAAAACTCTACTTGACCAGATAAACTGCATAATAATGCTAGAAAGTGTGGTGGCTATGAATGTAAGTAAAAGCACCACGAATTTGATGACTTAGTTTCTAATTTAGCAGAAACCACAACAGAAAACCACTTATGATGACTAATTTTCTTGAAATTCATGTATTCGAGAATTCTTAATGATTTCTTGAAGATGCTGAACTGACCAGAAGGGTTGTGTTTATGTGAAGTTTGTTTTTTGACATGTTCGTACATATGGAGTGTACCATATGGCACGTGTTCACATATAAATCCGGGAAAAGTTCAGTAGCTAAATACCCTGAACAACAAAATGGGTGGTTTCGTTCTCGCAATCTTTGATGGCCAATTTGTGTAAAGTAAATTGTCTTATTTAATAAATTTAGGACCAATTATTTAGATATAAAAGGTTCTAGATGCTGTCCACTTGTCATCCTGGTACCGCTTACAAACCACCGCAATGGCGACGCACAACTTGGATATCTGCTTCTTGATATGGCTCCACGTAGCTAACACGGCAAATAGGGATTAAAACATCACGAAAGGATTTTATAGGAGTTAAATGGAAACAAAGGAAACGGTGTAAGCTTCTAGTCATTGATACCATTTTTTCAGCAAAATTGTAGGTGGAGAACGTAAACGAAGGTGGCCTAAGTTAAATTAGTTTGACGTTAATTTGACGTAGTACGGGAAGCATAAAGATTATGGACTTTATGTAAGACGTCATCTAAAGGCACTAGTTTTTGTGAAGAATACATTCTTCCCTATACGGTTATGCAATATCGAAACTCAAGACTCATAAACGGAAACAACTTAAATTTTGCTCAAAGTGGAGTCAAAACAAACTAATGATTCCAGTCATGATCGAAGACATTTTTCGTAAGTTCACGCATGTGATATTGAACGACACCTGGGCTGCCTAGTTGTGTCGCTCCAATTGCGCCACGCTGATGTCCGAGGAGATTAAGAAAGTCGAAGTTGGCGGTGAGACAGCCCCTACTAGATGGCTCCATCTGGTCGTTCCGCGCCACTGTCCATAAAAATTTGTGTCTGATCACTACAGACTGACTGAACTTGAAAAAGCACGAGGGGCTGGATGGCCCGATGAATGGAATGGGTAGCGGGGGCGAGTACGTGCACGCGGGTTTATGAGCAGACGAGTCCCCATGATCTTGTTGAGGGCCCCGGCATGTTATCTTGAACTACGCCGGGGCCAATGCGCCAATCTAGGCCGATTACGCTACCCTGATTACCCGCTAAGATGAAGAAGACCGTAGAGGACGAAGCACAACCGTTTACTAGACAGCTCAACCTAGTTAAGCTGTGTTGACTGACAAAGCTGAGTGGACTCGTAAGAATATAGACGCCTCAATGGTCCTATGGATAGAGAGGGTGGTGGTGGTACATAAAGAGGGGTGAATGAGCAGGCGGTCCCAGTGCTTGACGGGCACGCCGTGAAAAGGGCGACATGTGTGTGAGGCTGTTGCGACCGGGTTACTTTACGTGAATTAACACGACCCACCACAACCTACATGGACGCCGTAAAAATGAGCTGGCGGCGGGTCTGAGAACACGACGACCAGGTAAATGGACATGAATCAACACGATTCTCTAAAGCCGAAGTGCGGCTGTGTAGTTTATGCTTTTGAACACATCGTTTTCCAAAAAAATGTGGAGGAAATGTGCGCATTATGTGTGAAATGTGAGCATCTGTCACCTGCACAAGAAGAAAGTTCGAAGACAACATGGGACTCAAGCTATTTATTGCTACCGTAACAAGGCATTGGTTTAACTAGGAACGCTTGGCATTAGGTCCCTGAACGAACGTTGCTACGCGACTGATAATAGGTTGACTTCACGTTCGCTCATGCCCTGTAAGAGGATTTGTGGAATGTCTTGAATACATCCCACATGGACGTGGGGGTCGCCAAAAACTGTTTTCACTTAATTAGAGTCGACACATTAATTTGCATGGTTAAAATATATAAGCCTTTAATGAACGAAGTCTTTTCAGAATGTCGCTTTCCAAAAACGGTGTTCTGACCAGGTGGTCGGTTCGGAATGTTAGCGCCTTTAAACGAGATCAGCGAAATTTGAATTTCTGGCTATTTCGAAGAGGAGTTAAAACTCCTTGTATGATGTTTGCCCAATGCTGTAACAGTAAGTGCAGCGAACACTAGCGTATTGACTCTTGATTCTATTTATACAATGTAAATCGTGTATTAAACAAATTCTGGATAACGTGTGACTTTATTGGGATGGATACTGATTAGTTTTGTTTGTCTCTGTGATTGAGTCCCATCAGCCATGCATTCATAGGGAAAAAATCAGTAAATGATGCTGATTATATTCGAAGTTAGAATTACAGTATCATGACACACATTACAAATAATGATAGGTTATGAAAAACATCCAAATGCGTCTATATATCTGCACCTCGTGAGGCCTTGACCTCAAGGGAAGTGAATCATGGTGGGTAATCACCAATGTAGGTGTTAGGGGGGGCAGAGAAGGTATGAAAAGACGAAGCGTGACTGAGGCAATTGTGCGGGCTGTTATAAACTTTCAATTGTGCTCAGAACAGTCTTTGAGAATGCCGACTTCCCAGCGCCTCTTCTTGAATAATTTGTTGCAGCAAGACACAACACGAAGTGCCCAGGGAAGAAATGGGGCAAGGGAGGGACAACTGTTTAACCGATGTCTTAACCAAATATTGGTGTCGGGTGCCTGCATTCAATTTGGGTGAACTTGTAAAGTTACAAGTGACTAAGAGCCAGATGAGTGAAGCGGGCAGGGGGAGGTGCATGCACAGGTAGGCGCAGACGCTCTCACGTGACTGGTGTGGGTTGTGTCACGGAAGAAGAAATCGTTTTCGCCATGGAGTTTGTGATTATCAAGGAATGGCTCCTACAGTGAACATATTCGTTTCTGATTCTGCTGAGGGTGACTCAGGGATTCCGTTATAGAGAACTTGACCAGTCGCGTTCGAATGTCTGCGAAACTGGGAACATGTAGGCTTAGAATGAGAACAAGGGTTTACACTGGTCTTCCCCAAATATGATTGACGACTGTAAAGTGATCCAAGAAAATGTTATGCTTCATTACAAGTTTAAGACGCCGGTACTGTGCGCTGGAGAGAAAGAAGTGTTCCCCAAATATTTGTCTGAGGATTTATTCCGTTCCCTTGAAGAGGCGAACCTGTGGATTTTGAGGGTGAATGAGTTGGCATTACCGGTCCAGGTTCAATGGTCAAAGTTACCAAGCAAGCCCCAGGCTTTTCATGCGTCGTCCTGTGAAGCGAGATTAAACCGAAACAAAGCTTATCGTCAAATTTAAGTCTTACCCCGTTTTCCGGATCAAATGGAAACTCTGTTAGGCTGTTATTGATGCCGTCGACTGACTGCAGACTAACTGGAATGGTCTGTGAGGGTTTTGGATCTTGACGATACGCCAGCATCACTGCAAGCCACTCAAGTATCTCTCCCACACCTTCTAGGTCTCAGTCTCACCTGCGTCACCAAAACTCCTCACGCTCCTAAGAGTTATTTACTTTAGTACACTGAGGATGAATTACAGGTCATACGATCTTCTAGATATGTTTCATGACACTACGTCAGTATTATAATAACGCCGTTCAACTAATTTAAAACAATTTAGTTTGAGTAATAATGTTTCACATCTGTAGCAATACAGAATACCAGCCTCCGAGTAATGTATCTACGATAGTATCTCAAACTAAACAACCTGGTACGCAGAAGTATAAATTGAATAAACAGGACCGTATTTTGCGAAAATGCATTTGAAAGAGTGATTTATTTCGATTTTCGTTTTTTTTCGCTTACTTTACCTGTAGGTTGGTCCTCCAAACTCCTGTTTTTTTGCTTTGCTTCTTCACAGACTGTTCAAGTGAAAAGCTTTTAAGCTTTCAGATTGACTGCTTAATTTACATTAATTGGGATGCATCTACTTATCCTGGCCACATTTCATAATTTTCCCTTAGAGGAGTTTGTTATTATCGAACAATTTTTTCCATTTAAAATTTGTTTGAGCCACTAGTTACCCTAAGAACTGTTCTTAGGGATGTGCTAATCAATAATGGGGTGTTGTGAATCACCTTGATTCACACTCGCCATTCCGATCATCCAGCCTCCAACACAGGGTTCCCCTTTTCGCAGCATGTCGCCAGCCGCACGGATCCTCAACTCCCCCCTCATTCACACGGATATTTATCTTGGGTTATCCTCACACCTGGGTCTCGGTGTTAGCGCATGTATGACTCACACATCCGAGGTATAAAGACACACGCGCAAACCCCACACACGATACAATGACATCAACTTACTTGATCTCCGAAGTAAACGGTTGTGTCCACGTCCCCTCCCATCCTTTTCTTCATCGCAGGTATCACGGAAGCGTAATCGGACCAGGGTTAATTCGGTGGCTCCGGCGTTATTCAAGAGCATACGTTCTAAGTTGAGAATTGTTTTTGTGAATCACGTAAGCCTTAGCAAACATCTCTTATCTTTTCGTACTTTAGGTCGAAATCCACTGCGTGCCTTGTTGAAGACTCCCTATCTAAGTCCACTTTGACCAGGGATTCCTTTTCAAGTCAGCCTGAACAACTAAACAGCCTCTGTGATCTGAAAACCAACCATGACAGGCGAAAGCATGGCCGATCGCATGCATCACCCCCACATCGTAATCAATCCCTCTCACGCTTTTTCCGGTGGCGTTCAAAGCATCATGACGAAGATTGTATTACATCACAATCACGACAAGAATCGACTGCTCTAGATCGGACCTATTCAAAATCGTCAACCATCATTGAAGAGGGTGGTTCGTTCACCTCTCTACTGGACCTCAATCCCAGCGCTCAACATTTTGTCAAAGGTGCCGATTCTCGGCACAACATTGCTTCCAAGTCCGAAGTGGAAGGTGGTTTGGACACGTTGAGATTACATAAGGAACAATCATCTAGCAAGTAAGATTAAAAAATGGGAAATGAAGTGTCTGGTCTTGTGCACTGTCCATGAAATTAACCAATTAATTAAGCATTATCACGTGACTCCTTATCTGACACGCTTCGTATACTTGATGTTCAATTTGAAAAGTGATAGTCACCTACACCAACCTCGGTGTTCTTGGTTGTTGTTGTTTGGTTCCAGAGCAAATCAAGGAATATCAAAAAGTTCAACCAAGAAAATGTGGTTTGGCCATCCGTTTTCTGATTTACCTAGTTAGATGGGAGTTTACTTCTACGAGGTAGGTGAAGTTTAATATCCCCACAGGGTGATGGAATTCTTCGTTTGTCAACACCGAACTTACGCTTCAGTATAACTCTAGATGAAGAAACAAAATTGCAATGATACTTGTGCCCCCCTAGGTTTGATCAGTCCATGGTGGCTGCAGAACTTTGAAGGTGGTTTCCTTGACTAGCTATCTCTGTTTTTTCATTAACATATTTCCACTCTAATGAACTTTGCAGCTGCTTTTAAAAACTTGTTCCAGCGACTCAAATGTCTTTCTCTCTGGTGTTAAAAATAACCTCATTAGCCACTGGGCATTCCAAATGGGTCATTTTTAATTGCAGACCAACCAGAGTATTCACATCCAACCTTTGTTTTATTTTAATTGAAAAAGAGCTCGTGGATCTCTAAAAAAAATAACAGAACAAATCAAAGTCTCGGGAATTTTTAGTATGTTTCTGTTTTGCTCACACTTCGAATAATGGCATTTCGGATTACCCAAAATCTGCAAGGCTGCCTGGCTGGATTGTAGTACTGTTTACTCTTTTGCATAGGCGACATTAGTGCTGCCTTTATGGAGGTGAACACGATATCTCTTGTATGAATTTAGTGGATATTTGTTTTGACAAATTACATTAACGTAAATTAACAGCAGGGAGCAAGTTCATTCGATCCCCAACAGAATGTTGCTAGAGTGTCTGAATATGTGAGGTACAATTTGGATGTGCGCTGCTGCACACGAAATAGGGACGTAAGTGAGTTCATCGACTCTTTCAAATCTCTAAATGCACCTTTACATGCAGATCACTTCGACTCAGTCCCTCACCCATGGCTAGTACAATCTCCGGGTTAAACGACACCACCACCGTACCTGAGCCAACACCTCGACAGGGACGAGGGCATGGTCTTAGACATCATTTATTCACGCGCTCCCATCAACGTCTTGACGACTCGGCGGGTAAGCAGGCTGAACACCAGGAGATTGAAATCAAGGCCATAGGCTTCGAAGTGGGAATGCTACAGCCTAGCCTCCTGGGCAGCCGGAAGCATTGCTTTTATGTCAAAGCGACAACAGGCAACATCCACGTTTTTGCTGCTGCTTCTCAGGAGGAAAGGTGCTGTTGGCTTACAAGGTAAAATATATTTCCATTGCTATTTAGTACTAGTTTACTATTAAAAATTGAGGCATCAGCAAGGAATGATCCCCTGTTCAGGTACCCTTAATTCGCAAACTGTATTCTGATAATTAAGCCCTTTTGGGAACGAAGGCACTTTGTGACACTCACCCTTTATTTGAGGAAAGTTCTTTTCAGAACAAAAAAAACTTGTGGGTGTCTCAATAAAAAATCCGTAACGCAATTATGAGGTGTGAACTGACGCGTTACTTTATTTTGCCCACACTGCCACTTAATTTATAACGTTACTAAAAGCTTCGTTACCGTGATTTAACATTTAATTGTTTTTGTTTCGCAACTAAAACCCTTAATGGCGAAGTGTGGTTTTTTTATTCTAAGGACCCAAAAGGTGTGTCTTTTAGTCCACCTCAAATATTTTATGCCCCCGTTGTTTAGCTCAAATCTCAAGGCCTAACGACACGACATGCAATTTGTTAAGAAAAAGTCTAAACTCATGACCAATATATAACTTTTGGGTCAGGAAAATGGCTCGATGGTAGACCGCAATCAAACACATCAGGAGAGGCACCATTGGTCGAAACTTACACGAGGTAATTTTGCACTACGCTGGAACTTCGGTTATGCTGAAATCGGTTAATTAAACTGTTTAGTACCACGAGTTCAACCATCAATCGAATTTGTACTTGAAGGTTTTCAAATTTGAGTCGCCTTTTACTATTTGTAAGCATCAGTGTGCATTATCGTCGTCGATGCGTTACAGAGGTCTGCTGAAGTTGGAGTTGATCAACTTTCTAGAATGAAAGCATTTGAGAAGAACGCATTCTCAAATGCAATTGAGTTACACGTCAAAGACGCCAATACAATGTTAGAAGTAGACCATTAGACTGTCAAATTCCGTGAACAGGTAAAGCTTCTCTATTTGTTTTTCTGTCTTGAATTCAGTCTTTTTATGTGTATGGTCTTAAGTTTTTACCTTTCCGAAGTTGTTTTTTTTAAATCCGCGGTTCCAGCTACAGTTTGTTTTAAAAACCCAATTTTAGTATCCAATAACATTGCGGCTTACTTTGATTCTTCGAAATTAAGAAACATCACGGAACAGTAAAACGATTGCAAAATTCATTTATATTTAGTGTAATTTCACATCGGAATGCTCTTGGTTCTAATTTCTTGAGTAAAGGAAGAATTTTCGTGAATGAAAAAATTCGTGAGAGTATCCTAATACATTTTTTTAAAAATTCGTTGCTGGCGTTACCTCTAGCAGCCCATCGATGACGGCCAATTCAATTTTAATTGCTATTTACCGAGTTGTCGAATTTTAGGCTTTAAGAAAGCTCATCCTTGCTGACGGCTTTGCTTGATGGAATGAGGCATTGTATCTTGCACGAAATGCGTACTTGTGAGGGTGGTATCAGGTGATGAATGCTTCTCAATTCTAAGTCGAATGCAATTCCAAGTCCTTTTTGGGGTGCCACCAAGGGGATTTCGGATCAGCGATCTGAGTCCGTGTAATTTAAAGTGCACTTGAAAAACCTCCGGCACTTCAGTGATTCACGTTGCGCACATAGGTTAAGATAAGTGCCAAAGGTCACACATATTTTACAATAAAACCAAAAACATTTTATTTGACCCCTAGCTAATTTGTCAAAGTCCCTCTTCAGTAATTACTTTTAGATTTACTTAAATTCCTTTGTTATGCAAAATGCATTTGTATCATTTTATAGTTTTACCCTTCGATTTCTCGGTTGACCACAAGAGATCTGTCAAGAACCTGGTATTCCGAAAAAATTGTCACCTGTGCATTAAAAATTGGCCTTAAATTAGAAGGGTTATCTTTATCATATCCAGTCTCAAGATAAAGTCACAAAAATAGCCCATACAGCTTGTCCTTCTTCATCGGTACTCGAAACGGCTAACCGAAATTTACACGAACTTGATTATTGTTGTACCGTTATTCGTCAGCGCGCTGTCAACTAATTTTAACTAGTTTCTTTCTAAAATGTATTGCCTTGACGTTCAACAGGTTACTGCAGTTTTCTTCTTAACTCCTAGTCGTATTAGTAAAAGTTGCAAGCCCCAGCAGCTGTTTTAATCTGTGGCTCAAACCTTCATTCCAAACACCAGCAATTGTCGCCAATCGTTTGCCACCGTGTGCTTCAGAGTTCACTTTCTCACATTTGTGCGACTTGCCATAGCTTCCCAACGAGATCAAGTCAAGCCGTCTCTCAGGAATGTATTCAGCTAAGGAGAAGATTTCCTTGTGGTAGTTTTTCAGCGCCAGGTTTTCGTCTAAAAGACGAAATATCAGTTATAAGAATCTGCTAATTTAGTTTTTGCTTAGTGTCTGCGCCCAGCGAGATTGTGATAGAGGGACTTGATGATGCTCTTTAAAAAAGCACGACCATGGAGGAGTCAGAGCAGGCTTACTTATTTCGATCTTGATAGATGACCGTTTTTAGGCATTGGTTGTAGTTTAAGGTCATTCAGCGACTCGTAGCTATATGCACCCAAGTTGTGCCAATAGCGCCACAAAACATTGCACTTCAGGACTGAAGCATAAGACACAAAGATGGATCAGAGGTGCTCGAACTGTGTATGCAACACTCAGATGACGGACTTTAACACCTCAGCAATGTTACATTTTCAGGGGATACCTCGGTGTAAAGTACACTTCGTCGGAACTTGGACAAAATCAATTTGCTCAAGCAGGGTATCTTGTTGATCAATGATAAATGAATTTTTCCCATAGCCTATTCAATAAGTACTATGCTTCTGTCACCTAGGTATGTAGGTTGCATTAAGTGTGTTACGAAAACAGAACAGTGAAGTGAATTGCGGCCGCAAAAAGAACTCCCCTTGCCACATTGGTTGTCCCAAACTTACTAGAACATTGGTCGAAGAGCCCATGTGGTTGGGCCATTTGGGTCGTTCAGGAAATACAGTTGGTGCTGTCAGTCTAATGTTACACAGATTTGCGTTGAGAGCAGCAGAAATAGCCCTATAAAACATTCGTATGAAACTTGGTGGTTATGTCACGCTTTGTAAATCCTCAATTATCAAATCGCTTGAACTGAGAAGTTGCCAAATTAGTTGGAGCTAGTGGCACCCCACGACAAAATGCGGAATCCAAAATAAATCGAGTTGTGTACCGACCCCTTTTTCCGTTTGAACGGATTCTGTGCTAGATCTGGAAGTCACTGAATCCTGCTTTTCATTTACGCCAAATCGTGAACTCTTTTATGTCCTATCACGACACTTAGTTGAATGCTTCAAACGCGAGCGCTGTTAGAGGCATTTAAATCAAACACTACGTACACCGACTAGTTGGAATAATTATAGCTATTTGTTGACTAGACTAACAGTGCACTACTTATAGTGATCAGTACGCTTTTCTTATTAAAATAAAATACCTCTTTTACTAAGGAATTTTCGAGCCATCACTTGTATGATGGCAATTAATAAACAGAAATTTCCCTGCTATGAATTTGAGCGGAACACTTTTGTTTCTCGTCTGCTGACATATTCCATGCAAACCTAGAACACCTCCTCTGAAATACTTGGTCATCGGTACATCATAACAGCAGAAAATTTGTGTTTTGAGGCCTTATACAAAGTGGATTGAGTCAGCACTTTTCAACGGCCCCAGATTTTATTTGAGTTTGCAGGCTAGAAAGATGGCAGAGCCTAAACAGAACTCACCTCTTAAGCCCATGACTATTCTGTTGAGCTCTCACAAAATTAGTGGAGGAAGAACTTACTCTAGTGAAAAAAGTCAGAATATGTCACCGAGAAACAAGTTTTAGTTAAAACCTTGCTTCTAACTCAACCTTACCCATTATTTTCATGCTTACCCGGCATTAAAATATCAGAGTACACCTAGCATCTCAAAAGACGACGAAATTACCACAGACAGTTGTGTTTCCACCCAGGCATATGCCTACGCACGCCACTAAGAGACCACTCGGTTTTCAGCTGAATTCTAGTGTGTATGTGTGTGCAATTGTCACACAAAGAACTAACGGATGCATACACTGAATCATTGTCACGTGGCTAGTTATGATTAATATATTTCAGTTTTGTGCGTATCTTAAATAGAATCACGCCTTACTGTATGTGTCAGCGCTATCGACTTAACAACAGTTTATTTAACTCGCAATATACTTTAAATGCACTTAATGGGACCAGAGGGCTGAGGCTGTGAGAGTGCTGGTTCAAATAACCGTAAACACCATGTGAACTCGGGTTTTCCGAATGCTAAGCGATTTGGAATGCAAACTCGGACAGGAGAGCTTCAGGTTCATTTCAGGAAGAACACTAAGTGCATGTATATAGAGGAACGCAACCGTCTCAAAGATGCAGGCGTAGCAGTATTCGTTCCTATTGAATGACCTTTCTAGACTCAGAAGAGTCCTTTCTCAGAACCACATAACCACTATACCCTATAGGCCTGACTTCGATCCTGTTTTGTGCAACTCATGAGCATTGCTCTCAGAACAATTCATTCACATGCATCATAGCCACGCGCTGATGTTCCAAGACTCAATTTGCACTCAACATGGGTCCTGGAAACTTAATAGGATAAAAATGAATTGAATTACAAGTCGTCGGTAAAAGCGATACAGAATTTACCAAATGGAATGGAGCGGACTGGTCCTAGCTTTCGACCTTTGTTTGATTCCCCATGTCACAAAAATTTCTAAATCCAGCTGAGTTCCTTAGGTGGTATTCTGGTCGATTCCACGACGCAGCCCAACCTTAAGTAGCCGCTATAGCCCCACTTTGGACCAAAACCTACCGTTAAATGTCTGGGTGTTTTCATTGGCCTTTTTCATTAGCCAATCGACGTGTCGCCATGCTGCTATTGGTTACGTAATTAACGTACTAGCCAACCTTGTTCATGCGCGTTCGCACGTGCGTCATTCCTCCAAGCTCCAAACACGTGTGCGCACCCGCACGTTCCTTCGAATAACCATCATCAGTCGATGCACAAAATGTGGCGTTAAC